ACCGACTCGCTCGCACCTTCTTGGGGTCGCACGCTCTTGACGTGGAAGACAGAGAGGTACTGGGTACACTCGCTGTTTTGAGTCCCATCGAGGCTAGACCCGACCTTGGGACGAGAGGCGCTTGCGCCTGTTCTACATGACGACGCACGGGGGGGGGGGGGGGAAGGTGTCACCTTCCTCGCGCACGTACCGTGCGTCGTCATGTAGAACAGGCGCAAGCGCCTCTCGTCCCAAGGTCGGGTCTAGCCTCGATGGGACTCAAAACAGCGAGTGTACCCAGTACCTCTCTGTCTTCCACGTCAAGAGCGTGCGAGCCCAAGAAGGTGCGAGCGAGTCGGTGTGCAAATGGATGTGGTGTGTGTGGACCTCGCAGCCCGCTGGCGCAGGTCACGGGGGAGTTTGTGGGGAGAAAACAGGAACCCGCGCGCAGCCGCTGGGCATGGTTGACGGAACGCATGTTTTATGTTGAAGATACAGGAGTTAGTGTGGATCTGATAATGTTCTTAATGTAAGTTTGTGATGAATTTATAGGGCTTGTGGGGGTTGTTGGGAGCTCTTCTTGGGGCGAATAGTCTGACATTGGGGTCGTGGCTTCTTCTCTGAAAGTCAAGGTGTTTTCCATTACGGGGTTGTCGGCCGTTTGGCGTCATCTCTGACGGGGGTGGTGGGTGTCTGGGTGGCGTTTCGAGCATCCTCACGCACAAACAAGGAGAGCGGTGGCTGCGGCTGTTGCGGCAGCGGCGATGGCGGTGGTGGTCGGATGTGCCGTTGCCAGCGCATTGTGGTGCTCACATTGGGTGGCCAGAGGCTGTTCGTTTGTCGCAGGAGGAGGAGGAGGAGGAGAACGATGTGTCTCGGGTATGAATGTCCCCAATCTGCGTGATCGCGATCATGTCCGCAGATGGGCATGGGCAAGGTTTTGTCGCTCACCCGCAAGAGGCGAGCTTGTCCTAGACTGGGGTACGGCCAGATCTAGGCGCGCCGTCCACGATCGTCCAAATGTGTGTTTCCCGCAAATGTCATGCTTCGATGTGTCACATTCAGGGCTCCAGCCCAGGTCTTTTCTGGGCAGCTCGCAAAGCAGCGGCAAGCTCTGCCGGTGCAATGCGCGCCACAGGCACACAGGCCATCTGCACATCGCGTCTTCTTAATCCCTGTGCTTGTGGTGGAGCCGTTTCGCACTAGAAGGGACGATCAAGCGGACACTCTTGCGGTGATACGCCAGCATCGCGTGCAAGCCCGACTTCAGGACGTCGGGGAAGGATGAGTAATTAAAACCCCGCAGCAAGCAAGCAAGCGAATGTTTGGCACGGCCTTACTGCGGCATCCCAACGCCATCGACGAGGCCTGGTCTCTGATTGTCCAAGACTTCGACTGCAGGCATCATTATCGTTGTTATGGTGCGTGCCAGCGAGCAAGTTTGAGAGTGTAAGAACATGAGAGTTCAGAGGCACATGCAGGAGATGTTGAGATGTGCAATGAAGTGCAAATGAAAAACAGCATGCCTGAAATTGTTCGGGGCAACCTGGCACCCAATAAATTGAAAATCCAAAGCCAAGCAAAGGCCAGAGGGGGAAGACCTCGCCCGTGACAAAAGAGTCCCAAAATCTTTGCCATTTAGACGATCAACTCTTCCGGAAGGGGGCGCAGATTGTAGGTCGATGCCATGCAGAAGCCGTACGCGCCACAGCAATCAATCAGCAGCACATCGCCCTCACGCGTGTCCTCAGGCAATGGTCGTTCACTGCAAAAGCCATGCATTCAGATGCCAGGCGTCAATGGCGGGCATACATACTGCAAGTCATCAAGCCTGTAATAGGAGCTCCAGCAGCCACAAATGCCGGGCACGTACCGAGCAAAAACATCTCCACTCTCGCAGATGGGACCGCACACGACAGCGTTGGCGGGGGGACCATCTCGCGAAATGTTGACCACCTCATGATAGGCTTGATACAACGCTGGCCGAATCATGGTGTGCATACCCGCCGTCACGCCTACAAACTTGACCCCTGATTTGTGTTTGATCTACATGGGAGCCAGTCAGGCGCGAGCAAAAATGAAGCAGACACCTTCGGCTTGCTCAACAAACAAAGAAATATACAACCAAACAAACAGGAGGAGCAGCAAGGCGGAAATAGAGAACCCTAGAGGCGACGCATACAAATCTCAAGAACCATACAATTCTCATCACAAACCTGTGTGACCTTGGCCAAGACGATACCACACTGCGCGGCGATGAAGCGGCCTGGCTCCATCCACACTTGGAATTGGGGAAACTCAGCCTTGGCAGCAGCAAGCGCATCGTCCACTGCCTTCAAATTCACCTCGGCGCCACCAAACGTGTATGGAATGCTCAGACCACCACCCACGTTGATCACCCGCGCCGCAGGAAAGTGTTCGCGAGCCAGCTTGGCCAGGTACTGCAGATGATTGGCCCACAACGTGGTGTTCTCCACGCCGGATCCGGAATGGCAATGCAGACCAAAGACTGTCAAGCCCAGGCACGTGAAGCAGAGGAATGAGTCATAGAGTATGGCAACAGGCCGTTTCATGAACCTATCACAGGGCTTATATCCGGCAACCTGGGGGCCTGGGTGGGCATGTATCCGAGAGCTCGACACACCTTCAATGCCATGCGCAGCGCAGAGCTGCGCCACTTCCGCCAGCTCATGGACATCAAGACCAAACTTGGACGCCGAACCGCCGGTCTTGACGTGTGCGTGATGCCCTTGACCTTGACCACTATCAATCCGCAACAGCACCTGTTCTCACACGCACACGAGTCAAATGAGGCGACGCATCCCCTTTCCCACTCGGAATGCAGCAAACGTCAAGACGGCAGGCAAGACGGCAGGCAAGTTGGGCAATGAAAACAAAATTGCAAGCCACGTCAAGTGGTAGACCCACCTTGGCTCCACGGAAAAGCTCGTGCCACTCTTGCAGCACGAAAGAGTTGTCCACCGTCACATTGACGCCGAGCTGCCGTACCGCACCGGTGCATCAGATGGTATGTGCTTGTGAGCGTTCAGGAGGCCAAGCAGAGCACAAAGGGGGCGACCAGTCAGCTGGAACGCACCTTCAAGGCGTGCTCGTACTCGCTCCTGGCCGCAAAGTTGGGCGTAAACAGAAGGTGTCGCACATCGATATCAGGGAACAGGCTAAGGATCAAGTCAATCTCCATCTGGGACACACACCTGGACGACGAAGCAGCAAGGGTGAGGCATCACTGTGGCGAAATGGCAATGATCGGTTGCAGCTGTACCTGCCCTTTCTTCAGCCCGACATACGCACGGCACGGATACCGGTGTTCGATTATGATCTTCACATTGACTTACTCAAAGCCGGCGCCAGCTGCATGTACGGCCCGCAGCACATCCGGATGCGAGTTGGCCTGCAAAACGGGAACCAGCGCCCAATTGAACGGTTACTCTGTCAGTCTGACATGAACTTGACAGCAGGCCCGAGGAGTGTGGCTCGTAGCAATGACATTGAGCAGACAAGCCGACCTTAATGGCAAAGAAGAGGCTATCGACGGCGTTGAGGTTGGAGATCAGACGCTGCGTTTGGCGGAAAGCCATGTCTCGCGAGTACACATATACGGGCTCCACATCGCCCACCTATCCAGAGCACCCCAAAACCCCAAATTGCCCATGAGCCTTGTTACAGTGCCACACAAGTGGGGGAAAACGAGACGGAGAATACAGATGCGTTTAGTGGACGAACACGCTAGTGGTGTGGGTGTACCTTTTGTCGAAGAACATCACGCTGGGCCCACCACCAGCGAGCGTCAATGCTGGCCGGATAGGCGCTGTCCTCTGAGTACGGTGTAAAAGGGTCGCGCGGGCACAAGGGCAAAGGCTTGGGTGCAATCACCTCCACCGGGTCAATGGGTGACTCGTTGTGCGACTCCTCAGCCCCCGTCACTGTGGTCTCAGACTTACTATCGGCGTCCTATTGTTCATGGGCATATTCAGCGGCCAAACGTCAGGTACAGGAGCCCACAGTAGTTACGTTCATCCTCAAGAAAGGAGAAGAAGAGAAAAAAAAACAAAAACCGACAGTAGTGCCAAAAAGGTTCGTCCCGCCCCACCGATGCTTCGCCCCACTATCCGTACAAACCTGTGCAAACGGATCAAGGGCTTGCTGGAGAGCTGGTGCAGTCAAGGGTCTGTCCGAAGCGCTGTCTGGTGTTTGCAGGCCGTTGCTGGGGGAAGAAGCGGTGCTGGTGCTTGCGGTCGAGCCACCCTGGCGCCGTGCCACAGGCGCTTCCGTATCCATGAAGCAATCAGCGTTCATATCCACCAGGTCAAAGAGGTCCTAAGGTCCGAATGGTTCAGCCATGAGGCAAGACGAGGGGGCACAGCAGAGATGCATCTGGCCATGCAAAGCCAACCTTGGCCATTTGTGCTTGTTGTTGTGAGTTCACCTCGTCAACAACCACGCTGATGCTTGCTCCGCTCGAGGCCCGAGAAACCATGTGTGGTTGTACGTTCAACACCTAACGGTTTATAGCCTTGATGAGTCAGCGATATGCAGTACTGGTTCCTGGATAATAATCGAGAGCGGCACGGACACGTACGCGCATGATGTCGGCCAAGCGTCCGTTGACGCCATCACCGACGATTGAAATGACGGCACACGGGTGATAGGATTGGATCTGGCAAATCTTGGCGAGTTCCTTTGCTGCCTGCAGCAACACCTGGCGAGTGTCAAAGTAATACGCAATATCCCAGTGAGGGCGGTTGATGACTTTGTCCGAGGTTCGTGCGTGGGTGCCTCGGTACATCGGTGGGCATCAAATGACATACTGCATTGTCTGCATAGCTGCCCAACGGGTCCAAGGTCATTGAGATGGTCGAGTCACTGGTGGTCACGACGTCGACCGAGATGGAAAACTTGGCCAAGGTGGAGAAAACCTTTTCCATAAAGCCGGCTGCCTGACGCATGGCCGGAGAGGAGAGGGACCAGAGGACCACATCGTGTTTGACGCGCAGCGCCTTGAGGGGCAGGTCGACGTGGTTTGCATGAGAGGACTGAAGAGGGGATGCATGACCCGATGCGGGTGCGTGATTGTAAATATCGGTGCCGCGACTGCCCGCGGCCATGTGCACTGACTGCAAGGCAACTTTCACGTCATGTGTGCTACACGCATATCACAGCCCGCAGGCAGGTGGGTGAGGCAGGCAATGCTTGGACAAAGAACTGCTCTTGCGGCTGATACGGTGTCTCTGCTTAGAATGGACGATGACAAACCGGGCAATGGTCAAGGCTTCGGGGTGAATGACCTCTGGAGTCGTGCCTGAAAGCTCAATGGCCTGGGGAGGGGGACGAAAAGTGGGTCAATGATTCGCCCGAAAAGCAGGTGCACACGAAAAAGTGCAAGGATCGCGAGATATGCACAAACCTCTTCGTACGAGACGGTGCGCAGAAGACGGCACTTGGGGTTGGCATTCGCATCATCGTCGTCAAGCTGGAGCGTGTGGTAGCCAGGCTCATTGTTCAGGATGCAGAGCTCATGAGTTTGCAAACACGCGGCCAGGTACGTCACGCGAATGTCAAATTCAACCGCATCTGACGCAGTAGCACTCGCAGGAAGTAACAGGGCGCGTGACGTTTGGTTCACAAACCACTCCTTGATGGGCTTGGCGGCGGACGAGCTGCAGAGAGGTGGATGCATTCGTGTGTGAGTGGAGGGGCAAGAGTGTACGTGGTAGATGTTCAAGATGTGGGTGGCTTTTAAGAAATCAAACATGGCTGCGAGGGATCAGCGCGACAGTACCCACCTGATTTGGGAGATGCAGACGTAGTCCGTCGGGACTTGCAGGATGTCGTCGGCATCGGCGCCCACAATTGTGCACTCGCCATTAAGACGCTGGAAGAGCCAGGCACTGAGCTGTGTGTGCAGCTGAACAAGCACCAGTTGGCGAAGCTGTTGGCAGGGGATGGGCGCAGGGGATGGGTGTGAGAAAGCGGGTACAGCAGGCGCGACGCCTGTCGGTGTCGGATCTATGCGCGCCGATATGACAGCCCCACCTTTTGGCGCGAGTCGGGGGAGGCTTCCTGTAGCAGAAAAAAGCCTTGACGGAAGCGTTCAATCTGCTGCACAAAATCGGCGTGGCTGGTGCTCTCCGTGTCGATGCCAAGGTCGCCGGCAAGGCTGCTGAAGAGGGCGAGAAGCCCCGAATCTGGGAGGGTGTCGGAGGTGTGGAGCGCAGCCTCAATGTCGGCCTCAATCAAAGAGCCCAGATCGGTGGGTTGCAGGGCTAGAAGGAGACAGCGGTCTGGGATGGCTAGCTGTTCTCGCAGCGCACTTTCCACCCGTTGCCATTCCGTCTTGCGCCAGACCTGGGAGCAGGTGTAGATGGGTAAGGGAGCGAAGGCGTTGCCTTTCCTTGTGATTGTGTAGCAGTATCCGCCCGA